AGAGGGCAGCAGTTCATGGAGGTGGAAAACAGCAAGAGCAAAAGGGAGGAGCAGTGACAGCAGCAGCTAGCAAGCCTCTCTCCCTTCCTTCTGTTACATGCAGATTGCCCACGGGGGGCAGTGTAGCACTCACACCCATAATCCCAGCGTTGGATCATGAATTCATCACAAATTCTAGAAGCCCCTCCCCCACCCCCAGGACCGCATGAGGCTTTGGGGGGACAACTTGACACAAGCTATAACATTACTGAAATAGAGGCATGACACCAGTGCCTTGGCCATCCCCAGGAGGTGTTCACTGTCCAGTAGTAGGACAGCACCAGGGTATATAGAGGTACACATCAGGATGTGACCAGGATGTAGGCTTTCAACCAGCAGTGAGATGACAAAGAGGAGAGCAGCTCCTTCAGAGCAGTAGCATTTCACCTACTTTTTTTTTTTTTTTTTTTAAAAAGAGATAGGACACTTTATCAGGGATTGTCCTACACTCAAACAGAAAAAGGAAAGAGAAAAACATAGACAACATGCTCCTGGAGCCCAAAGACGCCACCCTAATGTGTTGGCCCTAGAGGAGGATGACAAGAGGGGACGGGGCTCGGTCCCCCTCCCTGAGCTCAGGGTAACCTTCTATGTGGAGGGGACTCCAATTGATTTTGAAGTAGATACAGGCGCGGTTTTCTCTGCCCTTCGAAATCCCATTGGACCTTTGTCCGGCCGGAGGTCTTTAGTGCAAGGGGCAAATGGCAGTAGATATCGGGCTTGGACTACAAAGAGAACTATGGATTTAGGAAAATGAAAAGTACAACATTTCTTTCTAGTCATACCTGAATGCCCGGCTCCCCTCATGGGAAGAGACTTATTAACTAAACTGAGAGCCAAAGTAATCTTTGAGCCTCAGGGACCCCAAGTGACTTTTCTTAACCCTCTGGTGAGTCAACCCATGACAACTATGCTGACTATTGCCACTGAAGATGAATATCAACTCTATACCCAGCCCCAGCCTCAAGCCCCATTTATTCCTCAGCATTGGCTAACAGAATTTCCTGATTCATGGGCTGAAACTGCCAGACTGGGACTTGCCACCTCACAACCTCCTGTGGTAATAACTTTAAAAGCATCTGCCACTCTGGTCCGCATCAAACAATACTATATAAGTAAGGGAGCTCACCAAGGGATAAAAGGACACATACAAAAGTTTCTTGACCTAGGAGTATTAATACCATGCTGGTCATCCTGGAATACCCCTCTGTTGCCGGTCAAGAAACCAGGGACAGGGGACTATAGACCGGTACAAGACCTACGAGAAGTAAACAACAGGGTAGAGGACATACACCCTACAGTGCCTAATCCCTACAACCTGCTCAGCACCCTGAGCCCTGAAAGGATTTGGTATACAGTATTGGATCTAAAAGATGCCTTCTTTTGTCTGTCTTTGCACAAAGATAGCCAACCTCTGTTTGCTTTTGAATGGACGGACCCAGAGATGGGAGTAACAGGACAGCTGACTTGGACTCGCCTCCCACAGGGCTTCAAAAATAGCCCTACTATTTTTGATGAGGCCCTCCACAAGGACCTGACTGTTTTCTGGATCCGGCACCCCGAGGTAACACTGCTCCAATATGTGGACGACCTTCTGCTGGCCTTGAATTCGGAAACAGACTGTATGTATGGGACTCGGGAACTTTTACAAGAACTGGCTAAATTGGGATATCGAGCCATGGCCAAAAAGGCTCAAATTTGTCAGAGGGAGGTCATCTTTCTGGGATATACCCTCAAAGATGGAAGATGATGGCTCACAGAGGCCAGAAAAAAGACTGTCATACCAATTCCTCCGCCCACAAACCGGAGGCAATTATGGGAATTCCTGGGAACTGCAGGGCTTTGCCGACTGTGGATTCCAGGATACACTTCCCTGGCTGCCCCCCTCCATCCCCTCCTTAAGAGAGATGCCAATTTTATCTGGGGCCCAGACCAACAACAGGCCTTTGATGATATCAAAAGGGCCCTGTTGTCAGCCCCTGCCTTGGCTCTCCCCAATGTGGACAAACCTTTCACTCTCTACATTGAGGAAAAACAGGGGATAGCACGAGGAGTATTAACTCAAGCCTTTGGCCCCTGGAAATGGCCTGTGGCCTATTTATCAAAAAGATTAGACTCTGTGGCCAGCGGATGGCCTCACTGCTTAAAAGCTGTTGCAGCTGTTGCTATGTTAACCAAAGATGCAGACAAATTAACTTTGGGGCAGAAGCTAACTGTAATAGCCCCACACACTCTGGAGAGCGTCATTTGTCAACCTCCCAATAGATGGCTCTCTAATGCCAGGATTACTCATTACCAAAATCTCCTGCTTAATAAAGACCGAATAACGTTCGGTCTGCCAACTGCCCTCAACCCACCCACTCTACTGCTGGAAGAAACTCTGGAACCGATCCTCCACACCTGACAAGTGATCCTGGTGGAAGAAACTGGGATTCGCTGAGACCTCACAGACCAGCCGCTCCCAAACGCTGAGGTAACCTGGTACACCGACGGTAGCAGTTTCTTGCTAAATGGTAAGAGACATGCGGGGGCCACAGTCACTGATGGGACTCGGGTTATCTGGTCATCAGGATTGAGGGAAGGCTCTTCCACACAGCGGGCAGAACTGATTGCCCTCACTAAGGCTTTAGAGCTGGCTAAGGGAAAAAGGGCAACCATCTATACCGACAGCCATTACGCCTTCGCTACGGCACATATTCATGGAGCTATCTATCAACAAAGGGAGCTCCTCACTTCAGCTGGAAAGGAGATCAAAAATAAACAAGAAATACTTAGACTTTTGTCAGCTATTATGCTGCCACAGAAACTGGCTATAGTACATTGCAACAGCCATCAGAAGGGCTCTAGCCCCATTGTAAGGGGAAACAACCATGCTGATGAGGCTGCCAGACAAGCGGCCCTAGACGCTCCTACAACCACACCACCTGAACTTCCTACACCACCCCATCTGATGGAGGAACCAGAGCTTCAAGCCTATTTCCAACAAATTCATAAGTTAACTCATTTGGGCGTCAGGAAACTCTGCCTACTGGCTCGACATCATGCCACCAGTAACCTACCTCTGTCTAAGGTACAAAGACTGGCTGAACAGGTCACCAAGGAATGTAAAGCTTGTCAACTTGTCAACCCTCATCCCTCAAAGCTTGTTGGGGGAATAAGGTTATGAGGGGATCGACCTGGACAATTTTGGGAGGTAGATTTTACTGAAATAAAGCCTGCCAGGTATGGAGTCAAATATTTGTTAGTCTTTATAGACACTTTTTCAGGATGGACCGAAGCCTTTCCTACTAAACAGGAGACTGCTCAAATAGTAGTCAAAAAGCTGATGGAAGAAATATTTCCTTGTTTTGGCATGCCTAAGGTAATCGGGACTGACAATGGGCCGGCATTCGTGGCTCAGGTAAGTCAGGGTGTGTCCAAGGTACTGGGGATTGATTGGAAGCTTCATTGTGCCTACAGACCCCAAAGTTCAGGACAGGTAGAAAGAATGAATAGAACAATTAAAGAGACCTTAACTAAATTAGTCCAGGAGACTGGCTCTAAGGATTGGACTATGCTCCTGCCTTATGCTCTGTTTAGAGCAAAAAATACCCTGACTTCCAAACCACCTAACTTAACTCCCTTTGAGATCTTATTCAGTACTCCTCCTCCTATATGAGACCTTAGTCCATGGCCTAAGGATTTCAAAATGTCCCTAACTCCCTTAGCTGATAGGCTCTTGGTTCTCGATCAGATCCAGCGGATCCTATGGCGACAGCTTTCTTCGGCCTACCAGCCCAGTGATGAACCTACTCCTCACCGCTTCCACGTGGGAGACTACGTGTTCATTCGCTGACATCAAACCGAGACCCTACAACCCCGCTGGAAAGGACCTTATCAGGTACTGTTGACTACTCCCACAGCAGTCAAGGTTGACGGCATCACCTCTTGGATCCATGCATCTCACCTTAAGCTGGCACCTCAACCGTCTAACCATGAATGGACTGTGGAAAAGACTGATAGCCCTCTTAAGGTTCGAGTTTGTAGGATTACTAATTCTAAACCCAGTTAGGGGAGATAACTCTAACCCTCACCAGCCATGGAGATGGACTCTGTCTAGATGGGAAGATAAAAAAGTATTAAGGGCATGGGAAGGGACAGGAGAACCTTCCTTTCAGATATACCCCTGTGACTTGGTATCCTCACTATCATGCTCCAATTGTAGGGGACACCATATTTATATGTGTCCTGCTTCCAACCCAGGCAAATCATATTGTAACGGCCCTGGACAATATTATTGTGCCACTTGGGGATGTGAAACTATAGCAACTAAATGGTCCGTGACTACTCCGGACCCCAACTTAGAAGTAAAATGGACTCCAACTGGGTGCCCTGAGTCAGATAAGTTCTACTACCAAATAGTTATCAAGGCCTTAGACCACACAGACCCAAGATGGTCCACAGGATGAACTTGGGGAATCAAATTATATAACTTACAACCTGGAGGCCTAATTCTTATACAAAGAACCCAGACCCCACAAAAAGCTATCAGAGTTGGCCCCAACCCCGCCCTAATCAAAGAAAACATTTCTATCCAACAAGACTCTATCTCCCCCTTGAGGGTCAACCAATCTTCCCACAGCTATGACAGTCCCCCAGTTTCCACCACCTTCTCTCTCTCAGTCCCTGATAATCGATTGTATAACCTCATATTAGGGGCTTACTTTACTCTTAATCATACTCGAGCTAATCTTACCCAATCATGTTGGCTTTGCCTGTCTGCTTCATCACCATATTTTGAAGGAATAGCTATAAATAAGTCTTATGCCACCCTCGCTTCTAGCGCAACTTGTAATTGGAGTAATAGCCATAAACTTACCCTATCTGAAGTTACAGGACAAGGAACCTGCATTGGAAATCCTCCTCGTCAAATAAAACCCCTGTGTGCCATTATCCATCAGGTTCATGACAGAGATAAATTTCTTCAGCCCCCTATATGTTTAAAATGGGCATGTGATACTGGAATTACCCCCTGCATATCTACTAGAGTCTTCAATAACTCTGCTAACTTTTGTGTGTTGGTCTCTATATTCCCCCAGATTTTTTATCACTCAGGGATAGAGTTAGAAGATAGATTATTGGGCCAAGTTAGATATAAAAGAGAACCAGTTACTGTCACCCTAGCTATTATTATGGGAATAACTGGTGCCGCTGGTATAGGCACAGGAACTGCAGCTATCATACACAGTAACCAAAAAACAAGCCAGTTACAGGCAGCAATAGATGAAGATTTAAAAGCTATAGAAACATCTGTCATGGCTCTCCAAAACTCGCTAACCTCCCTCTCTGAAGTAGTCATACAGAACAGATGAGGACTTGATTTAATGTTTCTCAAGGAAGGGGGAATATGTGCAGCTCTAAAAGAACAATGTTGCTTTTATACAGAACAATCTGGTGTTGTTAAAGAATCTATGACTAAACTTAGAGAGAGGTTAGAACAAAGATATAAAGAACGCCAAACCCAACAAGGTAATTTTGAATCTTGGTTTAAAAGTTCTCCATGGTTGATAACTTTGTTAACTGCCCTGGCAGGACCACTCATACTCCTGTTCCTCGTAGTGACTATAGGACCCTGTGTGATTAATAGGATTATAAGTTTTGTTCATGAACACATAGGTAACATCAAACTCATGATTATCCGCCAACAATATGAGGCCCTAACTACCAACATCTCAAATCTCTAAGATTAGAGATTCCCAACACCAAAATGGGGGAATGTAAGGCCCAGATGATAGATGATTTGTAAGTTCAAGCTCCGGTTAGGAGAGACCACACGCCGGCTTACGGCCATAAGATCTGAGTAACCCATGCTCCAGAAACTCCAGGTGGCATCATAAAA